ACTCCCAGAATTCCCCAGCCCAGCATGCTTTAAGATGGGTGGACTTCGATTCCCAGAATTCCCCAGCCCAGCATGCTTTAAGATGGGTGGACTTCAACTCCCAGAATTCCCCAGCCAGCATGCGTTACGTTGGGTGGACTTCCACTCCCAGATTTCCCCAGCCAGTGTGCTTTCCTACATTATAGATCAGGGGTTTCCAACCTTGGCAACTTTAAGACCTGTGGACTTCAACTCCCAGAAGCATAGCTGGCTGGGGAATTCTGGGAGTTGAAGTCCAGAAGTCTTAAAGTTGTCAAGATTGGACGCCCAACCTTGCTGTAGATCATTTTAGAAGTCAAAAGATGGCGCTTGAAGAACATACATTCAGCCACGGGGGGGCCTTTGGTGTTCCAGATTCTCTGTGAACCTGGTGTGTGCGAATGGAGACATCGCCTTCCACTTCAACCCACGGTTTGATGAAGGCAACATCATTGTCTGCAACACGCAAGAAAAAGGCTGCTGGGGACCCGAGGAACGGACGTGCACAATGCTCTTCCAGCGAGGCGTCTCTTTTGAAGTGATCATCAACATCAGGAGCTGTGGTTACCAGGTAAAAACAAGAGTAGAAGGCTAGTGCCAGTATGGGTAGGGTTATAGTTAAGTGGCTAGTCTAGTGAAGAGAAGGACCAGGGGAGACAGGATAGCAGTGTTCCAATATTTGGGGGGGGGTGGCTGCCCCAGAGAGGAAGGGGTCAAGCTATTTTCTCAAGCACCCGAAGGCCAAACAAGGAACAATGGATGGAAACTGAACAAGGAGAGATTTAACCTCGAAACAAGGAGCAATTTTCTGACAGGGAGAACGATCAACCCATGGAACAGAAGTTGCCATTAGAAGTTGTGGAAGCTTCATCACTTGAGACTTTCAAGAAGAGACTGGACTGCCATCTGTCAGAAATGGTGTAGGGCCTCCTGCTTGGGCAGGGGGGGTTGGACTAGATGACTTACAAGGTCCCTTCCAACTCTGATTATCTGTTATCTGGCTGCCCTGGGACAGCCAATAGGAGTCATAGTGCAGTCAGTGCATCAGGGCGCCTGGAGGAATGGTCCTTAAATCAGGAAAAGGTAAGGAGAAAGACCAAATTGAATTTGATGCACTCTTCACTGGTTTCGTTCTAAAATTGAGCTCCAAATTGCTTCCTTTATTGCTTCCTCCGGCCGCCCCCTGGTGGTGGTGCTGCACTGGTTCATGTTTGCTGCCCCCTAGTGGATATACTGCAGAATTACTACCAATTGCATTTTAGAATAGATGCTTCCAAATAGAAATATTTTTTATTATGCCTTACCTGAAGTTACATCTGTTCTTCTTTTCTCTTCTCAAAATACGTCCATGAGAAGTAGTTGCAATGGTCACACAATGAAGACCTGTGGATTTATCTAGACCATTGTTTGCTAATAACCTCAGCAACTTTAAGATATAAGGACTTCAATTCCCAGAATTCACCAGCCAGCATGTTTTACGATATGTGGGCTTCAGTTCCCAGAATTCTGCACTAATGTGGAGACTTCAACTCCCAGAATTCCCCAGTCAATTTGCTGGCTGGGTGAATTCTGGGGATTGAAGTCCACATATCCTAAAGTTCCAAGGCTGAGAAACATCAATCAAGACATTCCATGTTTGTTTCTTTCTACACACGCGATTTCACTTCTCATTCTGTTCTTTTTTTCCTTCTTTAGGTTTCTATCAATGGCAGCCAGTTCATAAACTACCGACACCGCCTTCCCATGAATCTGGTCCAGACTCTGCAGATCAAAGGGGACGTCTCCTTGAGCTGCATCAATTTCACAGGAGGATTCGTGAGTATTGCTATCAGCCTCTCTAACCTCCAGGTTAAATTTGCCAGCATGGATTTCGTGACTTCAGTTGCAGGAAACAGAAGTTTCTGCACTGGTGCACTGATGATGTTACCTAGTATGGTAATAAGATGTCTGCAAGAGAACTACCAAACTCAGAAAGCACCAAGTAACCCACCATTATTCTCCTCCTCCTCCTCCTCCTCCCCCTCCTCCTCCCCTGCCAAACCCCACTCCCTTCTAACACTGATGATGTTACCTAGTTGGGTATTGAAATGTCCTCAAGAAAATCACAAAGTTGAGAGAGCACCAAGGACTCTACCATTCAAATCTGAGCTGTAAATATTATCTTCTATCAGTACAGACATCTCTGTTATCCTGGGTGAATTCTGGGAGTTATCAAGTCCAATAAATCTTCTCTTTGGAAAGCAAGGGCTGCCTCCGAAAATTCTTTGCTTAACAATGAAAGTCCTTCCTTAGTAGGAAAAACGCTGCTAACTCAGGTTGTCCTATCATGAATTTGGGTTTATTCCATGCTTGTTTCTACTCCTTCTGCCTGGAAGGATGTTATGAACTTTATGCCTTTTTATTATTAGTTCTTCTGGGTATGTGTGTGTCTAGGTATCTTTATATATATATTTATATCTACCTATATCTTTCTTTCTTTCTTTCTTTCTTTCTTTCTTTCTTTCTTTCTTTCTTTCTTTCTTTCTTTCTTTCTTTCTCTCTCTCTCTCTCTCTCTCTCTCTCTCTCTCTCTCTCTCTCTTTCTTTCTTTCTTTCTATCTATCTATCTATCTATCTATCTATCTATCTATCTATCATCTATCTATCATCTATCTATCTCTACCTATCCATCCATCTATCTCTATCTCTATCTCTATCTCTATCTCTATCTCTATCTCTATCTATCTATCATCTATCTATCTATCTATCTATCTATCTATCTATCTATCTATCTATCTATCATCTATCTATCTATCTATCTATCTATCTATCTACCTACCTACCTATCTAATCTATCTATATCTGTCTGTCTCTCTCTCTCTCTGTCTCTCTCTCTCTGTCATCTATCTATCATCTATCTATCTATCTATCCATTCTATCTATCCATTCTATCTATCCATTCTATCTATCTATCTATCTATCTATCTATCTATCTATCTATCTATCTATCTATCCATCTATCCATCTATCTATCCACTCTATCTGTCTGTCTGTCTGTCTGTCTGTCTGTCTGTCTGTCTATCTATCTATCTATCTATCTATCTATCTATCTATCTATCTATCTAATCTGTCTATCTCTATCTATCTATCTATCTATCTATCTATTCATCCATCCATGTATGTATTTCAGGTTCCACCTCCTTATGCTCCTCCACCTTACAATCCCATCCCACCTATGACTGTAAGTATAATTCGAACATTTATTTACCTGTGTTCCATTTGCAAAAAAGAGAATGTAAATTTTTCAGCCTTGATTATCAATACATACAGGCAATCCTCGTTTAACATCCACATGTTCGGCAGCCATTCAAAGTTACAACGGCGCCGGATGAGGAGATTCACCATGGGTAGAGATTCACCATTGCAGAACCTCTATGTTTACACAATCATGATTGGGGTGCTTGGCCACCAACTCACCTTTATGAAGGCCACAGTGTCCCAGGCAGAGGTGGTATTCAGATGGTTCAGACCGGTTCTACAGAACTGGTGGTGGAAATGTTGAATAGTTCGGAGAACCAGCAAATACCGTCTCTGACTGGCCCCGCCAACCCCATCTCTTCTCTGCCTCCCATTGAGTCCCAGCTGATCGGCTGGGTCTTCTTTGGTTGCCCTGCACAGGAGAATGGAGCTGGAAAGCAAGTTAGTCGGCTTGGGAGGAAATGGGATTTTGCAGGAGCCTTCCCCTGCCATGCCCACCAAGCCACACCCACCAAGCCATGCCCGCAGAACTGGTAGTAATTTTTTTTTGAATCTGACCACTGTCCCACGATCACATGATCCCCATTTCTGACTTTCACTGCTGGCTTCCGGCAAGCCAAGTCACTGGGGAAGCTGGCAGGAAAACGAAAAGGCATTCATGGGTCATTTGCGCTTAACGATAGCATGGGATCCACCTAATGACAACAAACAGAACTGCCACAGCTGCCATTGTAAGCTGGCACGGTCATGTGACACTGCACTTTAAGACTGCTTCGCTTAGTGACAGAGTTGATGGTCTCAGTTACCGACATTAGCTGTGTACTGAGTATTTTACACCTTTGCTTAAGCATTTGGACTACCATGAGTGGTTCCTTGATGGACCAGCTTCAACTATGAATGAACGGTTCTAGACAAGGAGAGAATTTCCTCATTTGATGAGAACTAGGGCATGCTTGCTGGACATCCTTGCTGAGAATTCTGGGTCTTTTAGCCCCAATTCCTTAGGAAGTCTGATCTAGATTGTCTAGATCTCTGTAACAACATGTCCTTTCCTTCTTTTCCTCAGAACGTTGGCGGAATGACGGTGTGCAATCCGGTAGGTGACCTCTTGTCCTCCTTTTCGGACGTCCTCACAAAATCGGTTGGTCTTGATTTCCCTCTGCAATGATGACCCTTTGCAAGCCCCCTGCAGATGCCAGGTGATTCTTGAAGGAACATTCCAAGACGTTCCTTGCGATCAAAGTTCCCCCATCTACTGCAACGTCTAGTCTGAAGATAGGAGGACTTTGGTTGTTTGGAGCAGGGGTCTCCAACCTTGGCCACTTTAAGACTTGTGGACTTCAACTCCCAGAATTCCTTAGCCTGGGGAATTCTGGGCGTTTGAAGTCCACAAGTCTTAAAGTTGCCACGGTTGGAGACGCCTGTTATGGAGCGTTTTTGAACGTTCCTTCAAGAGCCGCCTGTAATCTAATTTCTCTTGGAGATGGGATAGTTGGTCAAGAGACGATGATCAACGGTTGGATTTCATTGGCCCTTGCCTGAAAAAAGATGGTGTAAGAATTAAGTGCAAGAACCAAAAAGAAGTAGAAGGGCAGATTCAGTTTACTTTCCTTTATTGTCATTGCACTTTGTACAACGAAATGAAACACTATCTTCAGTGCACATCACGACCATGAAAATAAACATAAACACACATCCTTCACACTCCACACAGTGAATTGTAAACCCCTGATATTGCATTCATATTGCACTATACAGTAGAATTCAGTAGAGTTACTGCCCTGGGATAGAAGCTGTTTTTCAGCCTATTTGTCCTTGTGTTTATGATCCTGTACTGTCTGCCTGATGGTAATAGTTAAAAAAAAAAAAGGGGGGGTTCCCAGGATGAGATGGATCTTTGAGAATGTTTTGAACTTTCTTAAGGCAGCGGGAGCTCTAAAGCTCTTCCAAAGAGGGGAGAGGGCAACCCAGGATCTTCTGGGCAATGACATTAACCCTCTGGAGTGCTTTCCTATCTGCCCTTGTGCAATTGGCAAACCCTACAGAGATGCAGTGAGTTAAGATACTCCCTATGTGCAGCAGTGGAAGATCACCAGCAGTTTTTCATTCAGTCGTTGTTTTCTGAGAAGTCTCAGGTAGTAGAATCTCTGCTGGGCCCTTTTGAACCAGGGCTGCAAGGTGGGCACCCCAGATCAGGTGGAATTCAGTCTCGTGGAGATGGAAACAAAGGAAAAATGGATAATCAAGTCCAGGACTCAACTGAGGTCAGGATGATAACCTCCAACTCCATGTGTGTGTGTCTGTTTTTCCTTTATTGTGGACGTGCTGAGAACCTGGAAATCAAACAGGGAAAGTTTTAGTACTCCAAAGTGACCATTTCTTAGTTCTTCACTTATTCCTTTTTCATCCTGATCTCTTTTTTAGGCCACCCCGTTTAATGCCTTTCTTTCGGGGCGTTTCTTTCCCTTCTGCCAGATCAAAATTGTGGGGAGCATCCCTTATTCAGCAGACAGGTATGTCAACCTGAGGGAAAAGGACTGGGGAAAAACACCCCCCCCCCCAAAAAAAAAACAGGTACCCCTCGACTTACAACAGTTTGCTTAGTGACCGTTCAAAGTTACAACAGCACTGAAAAAAGTGACTTATGACCAATTGTCACATTTACAACCATTGCAAGATCTCCTGTGAAGGGAACTGTCAGATAAGAGGCAGCTTAGCCCTCAGCTGCATAACAGATGGATCAGGAAACTCCGATGAGACCCTCCCTAGTTTCTCAGGGTGTAAAAGAGAGGGGGGGAGGGAGAACTGTCCTTTCAGATTTGCAAGATTTTGTCAATGTGGCTTTACAACAAGGCAGAATTAGTCCAGCTGGCTATGTTTCCTATCTGGTCTGTTGGGGGCAGAGGTGGTATTCAGCCGGTTTGGACCGATTCTGGTATACCGATAGTGGAAATTTGGATTAGTTCGGAGAACCAGCAAATTACCACCTCTGGTTGGTCCTGCCCACGCCGTTACCTCTCCTATATTCCTTTGTTTTGTTTTTTTAGCTCAGCTGAGTCGCACGGCAGAGTGGATTGCCGCGCCTCAGCTGAGCTAAAAAGCAGCTCAGCTGTCCAGTGTTGACAAAAGTTGGTCTTTGAGCTCTCCACACACGCATAGCGTGCATCAAGCGTGTGAAGCACACGCGCATAGAACCGCACATAGAACTACCGGTAGGAAACAATTTGGAAAGCCACCACTGCCCCCATTGCCGACAGGAAGACATCCACGTTCACTCGAGGTGTTTTTAGCAAAGGGGCTCGTGGTTCCAACGCCTGGATTTCTTCCGAGGGCAGTTAGGGTGTCCCTTGAAGTAACCCACATGCTTTCCTCGGATACAGATTTCATGTGAACCTGAAAAACATCCTGCTGGGCAACATCGCCCTGCACGTTAACCCCCGGTTCAAAGAGGGAGCGCTAGTCCGGAATTCCTTTATCAACGGCGCTTGGGGAAGCGAAGAGAGAAATGTTGCCTTCCTGCCCTTCTGTCCCGGGCAGGCCTTCCAGGTAAGGGGAGTGTCCTTGGGATAAGAATTTGCTTCGTGGCATTTCAGTGTTGGCCAGAAAACCCCGTATCAGGGTTACTTTTAAGTAGCAGGCGAGAAAATGGGAGACAGGGAGTTCTAGTCCTGCCTTAGGCATGAAAGCTGACTGGGTAACTTTGGGCCAATCACCAGGAGATGGTGAGTTCTAGTCCCGCCTTAGGCATGAAAGCCAATTGGGTGACTTTGGGCCAATCACCAGGAGTCAGTGAGTTGGTCCAGCCTTAGGCATGAAAGCTGACTGGGTGACTTTGGGCCAATCACCAGGAGACGGTGAGTTCTAGTCCCGCCTTAGGCATGAAAGGCAGCTGGATGACTTTGGGCCAATCACCAGGAGACGGTGAGTTCTAGTCCCGCCTTAGACGTGACAGTTGGCTGGATGAGATTGGGCCAATCACCAGGAGACGGTGAGTTCTAGTCCCGACTTAGACGTGAAAGTTGGCTGGATGAGATTGGGCCAATCACCAGGAGACGGTGAGTTCTAGTCCCGCCTTAGACGTGAAAGTTGGCTGGATGAGATTGGGCCAATCACCAGGAGATGGTGAGTTCTAGTCCCGCCTTAGGCATGAAAGGCAGCTGGATGACTTTGGGCCAATCACCAGGAGACGGTGAGTTCTAGTCCAACCTTAGGCATGAAAGCCAATTGGGTGACTTTGGCCAAATCCTTTTCTCTCCAACCCATCTCACAGGGTTGTTGTTGTGGGCAAAATAAGAGGAGGGTTATTAACACACGTTGAGCCTCCGTGTCTTTGGCTTTGGTGTAGAGTTAGTCCTCAACATATGATAATCATGGAGCCTGCCTGCCCCTTATGGTCATAAGTGGTGTTGGTCGTAAAGCAGCTCACCCACCTGAGTGGACTTGATTTGTCTACCTTTTTTTGCAGTGGTCATTAAGTGAAGGGTATGGTCATTAAATGAACCCACTGCTCGCTAGGTGTCAGTTTTGCCTAAAACCAAAAGTTGAATGCTGTTTTTCGGCAAAAAACATGCACAAATTTTCAAAGAAGTCAATATGATAGTTGGAGCCCCTCCTCTTTTTACTCATAATGCACATTTTTTAAAAAAAGGGGGTGGGACTTGAACCACTGAGGTTTTCCGATGATATTCCTGGCTGATTCCCCTACTTTTCTTGCAAACCAATGATTGTTTAAAATAATCAGGATAAAAATGTCTCCTGCTTCCTTTGACCATTAGCTGGAGATCACCTATCTGGAAAACTGCTACCAGGTGTTGGTGAATGGCCAGCTGAAATTTGAATATGTCCATCGGATCCCTCCCTCTCAAGTGGACCAACTGGAAATAGCTGGAGACGTCATCCTTTCCTGCGTGCAGTACTGACGGCCCCCCCGTGCGAATGGAATGCATCCTGTTTCTGCTTTGATTGACAAGAGGACGAGAACTCGTGGGTTGCAACTCCCATGTCCCCCACTAGACCGGGGTCCCCAAATGTGGCAACTTTTAAGACTGGTGGACTTCAACTCCCAGAATTCTCCAGCGAGCTTAAAGTCTTAAAATCGTCAAGTTGGGAGACCTCTGCTGTAGGTGGTCTGCAGGAGGACCCCAAAACTCAAGAAGCTAAAGAAAAAGAGTTGGACTCTTCTCATTCCAAGGTCATTGGAGTATGTCTCTCATCACTCCTAGGCCTGCTGTCCGGAGTGGGTGATGGGTGCTGTAGTTCGAGCAGACTTAGAGCTCCACCCAAGAAATACGGTGCATAGCACCCTAAAACGTGAGCGTTGGTTATGAGCCTAGCTATGGAGGAGAGCCCAAAGCTGGCTCTTCAGCTCTGCAGGGCCAGCCCTTCCACTAAGCAGCTTGAGCTCCGTCTTACAACTTTTCTTGCCACGGTTCTTTAAGTGAATCCCTGCAGTTGTGAAGTTAGTCGCATGCTTATTAAGTGAATTTCGGTTCCCCATTGACTTGGTCTGTCAGAAAGTCACAGGAGGAGGAGGAGAAAGGGAGATGGGATGAAGGAAGGAAGGAAGGAAGGAAGGAAGGAAGGAAGGAAGGAAGGAAGGAAGGAAGGAAGGAAGGAAGGAAGGAAGGAAGGAAGGAAGGAAGGAAGGAAGGTGAAAAGGAAGGGAGGGAAGGAAGGCAAAAAGGAAGGAAGTAAGAAGAAAGGAAGAGAGGGAGGGAGGGAGGAGAAAAGGAAGAAAAAGAAGGAAAGAAGGTGAAAAGAAGGAAGGAAGGAGAAAAGGAAGGAAGGGAGGGAGGGAGAGAGGGAGGAGAAAAGGGAGGAAGGGGCGAAGGAGGAATTCTGGGAGTTGAAGCCCACAAGTCTTAAAGTTGCCAAGTTTGGAGACCTCTGCTCTAAACCAATCGCCCCACCCAGATTTCTATCACACACGCTTTCACCTGCAGAATAAAAATCGACGCATCAATTACAGATTCTTCACAAGAAACCTGCAATTTGCGATCCTCAGAGATGTGGGTTGCTCCAAAGGTGCTTTTTTTCAAGAGGCAACTGGACTTTCTAGTTGTTGTTTTCTTTGAAGACGCTTTGCTTCCCCTCCAAGAAGCTTCTTCAGCTTCTGACTGGATGGTGGGAAATAGAAGGTCAGCTCTGAAGAAGCTTCTTGGAGGAGAAGTGAAACCTCTTCAAAGAAAAAAAAAAAAACAACCACCAGGAAGTCCAGTTGCCTCTTGACAAGGCACTTTTGGGATAACAATGACCTGAGAATCTGCCCTAGACACTTACTAAAACAATCTTACAAAAGAAATAGTCATTTCTATCTTTACTTCCTTAGTTCTCACTTTTGTCATTTGGTTGCATCTTGTTCAATTATGCAAAGAGGAGGGGTTTTTTTTTTTTAAGCAACTCCGCGAAAATAAATTCCAAGGTTCGAACAGGACAACAGATTCTGGATTCCTTCTGTGATTATTCTCTTGTTTCGGTCGAAGTTTTTTCTTTTCTTTTCAAACAGGCATAACGAAAATACCTATGATGCAATGAACAAGTTGTTGTTATCCAGCTCTCTGGAGAAGACGGGAAGGCTGGGAATGATGGAAGGGCAAAGGATGACCATAGAGGCCTGGCAACACAGTGGTTAGAATACAGCATGGCAGGCTAACTCTGCCAACTGCCAGCAGTTCGATCCTGACCGGTTCAAAGTGGACTCAGCCTTCCGTCCTTCTGAGGTCGGTCAAATGAGGACCCAGATTGTTGGGGGCAAGGTGCTGACTTTATAAACTGCTTAGGAAGGGCTGTAAAGCACTGTGAAGTGGTATATCATTCTAAGTGCTATGGCCAAAATTGAGGAATGCTATTGAAAGAATTGATGAATTCTCAGTTAGATCACCCTGCAGAAAATCTGTTCATGTAATCGCTCAGCATGAACATAATGGCCTATAATCAACTCTCCTGTCCCAGTTGGAAATCTCTTCTGGATTTTGGGTTTGAGATGGGGGGAAAAAATGAAACACTGACTTTGGATTTTGTCGATTAGATAAATTTGTTGTTATATAGAAATAGCTAGTCCATATTAGTATGTAAAAGTAAGTCGTCGAGGCTGTAATACTATTATTTTATTGCACTAAAAAGAGTTGTAAATCAATATTTTTCTCCCACCCTTCACTTCTTTCTCTTGTTTTTCCCCCTCCTCCATTTCACACTATTTTCATTTTTTTTGTATTCTATATCTTGGAAAAAAATCAATGTATTTAAAATCAATCAATGCTTGTAGTTGCCACCCATCATAGATCAACAAGAGAGCAAACCAAAAGCTGTGAATTCTGTTTTAATGGATCAGCAGTGCAGCTTTTCAAAATTCATTCTACTGCACTCCTTGCAATAACCCTATAGAAGAGCATCTGCATTCCCAAATTTAAAGAGTGGCAGCAGCAACAGAGGCACTGTGTGAAGATCTGAAGGGACAGATCGCCTATGCAGAATGGGAGAAGAAGGTCCATGTACGAGCTCACCAAGAATCGATGCCAACTTGATGACTCAAACAATACCAACTGCTACATCACCTCTCCACAAACATTGAGCTTGTTGTGTTTTACACAGATTTCCAGATGTCATATCCCTGGTAGAGACTGACTCTGAGGGAGAGGAGGAACAGCTGACAGGGAGTGGAACCAGAGGTTGTGGAGGAGGCTAGGGAAGGGCAGAGGCCGGCTGGGCAGTCAGAGGAAGACCCAGGTCCATCCCCTCTCCATCCTAGGGCACGCAGGAAGGAGACGATAAGGGAGAGACATTGTCTACTGGGGAGGAGAGGCCTTGATCCTCTTAAGGGGCTGCAGCTGTGACAACTGGATAAGAGGACGGACATGCGTACGGGCGAGTGCTGGAAACAAAGCGTGGAAATATCTCTAGTTTATTGTTCCTGAGTTTGGCGTCCTTCCCAGTGTGTGCTCTGATATCTGTGGATGTCTTCCTTCCAACCCTTATCTTGCCTGGTTTGTGTTGTTTTTTTAACTCTTTATAATTTATAGGCATTTCCTCCTTCTTGTAACTGCTTGTGGGGGAGTTTTTTGTCTCCGGTCAAGGATATTTGGAGCTTGGAAGCAAAGTGAAGGAATAAAAGGGGCTTCACCTGTTTTTTGTGACTGTGTTTATTTTGTATCCCACCCTGGGTCATCACAGCATACCACAGCTCCTTTGATTCAAACCCCCCCCCCAATGAATTAAATCAGTAATTATTTCATTTTTCTTAGTCCTGCTCAAATCATACATTCCTTCCAAATGAATAAGCTACATGTATCAATGAAGGCAATTTAGCATCTTTGGAACACATTTTCAAGAGTCCCAAGTGATGCTGCATTTACATGCTCATGAAGTGCTTCCAACCCTGTGCAATCAAGTCTACATCTTTAAGATATGACGGGAAGCATCAGCCAGCAGAATATATATCTCTTGAAGTGGCATTGTCCCTTTCTCTCCAAAACAGTGAAAGCAATTTTATTTTGTTCAGTTCAGCCTTAACTTTGGAGCCAGATTGTAGAGGACCTACTGCGATTTAAGTATATCAAACAGGCAGAAAATATTTCTTTTCGCTGGATAAATGTTTCAGTCTATTTCAGTTTCCGGCTGAGCTCTACAAGCAGGGGTCCCATCCAACCTCACCCCCTTGAACAACTGTGTCCGTCCGTCTCTTAGGTGTGCGCTGAAGGCATCTCTATCGGGATATCCGGTAACAAACTGCAGCTGTTAATAATGTCTATTTTTTCTGCCACGGTCCGTAGGTCGTCCAGAACCAGCCGTATGTTGTGTGAAGCGTTGATGATGCCATTTTGGGAATGGCTCAGCTGCCCAGTAATGGCTCCAATCTCCTTGATGGCAGTTTGGTAAACCTGTTTGATGGTGTTGTGGATGTCGTAGTATAAGCGGGCGTTACTCTCCACCAGCTTCTGCTGCAGTAGGGTGCTGTATCGGCCCCGGTGTTTGATGTGAAGGGCGGGCTTCTCTTCGACAGCGGTGGGAGACTCCGAATCTTCATCCCTGTAAACGATCAGGGGAGGCAAATCTGGCGTGATCCATTTCGCCTCGGCTTTCGGTCCAGCGGGAATTCCGGCTTCGTCTTCCTCGTCTGTTTCAGAGGCTTCCCCAGCGACCTGAAGTCCAGCAGGCTTTTCAAAGGCAGCCCGAGAGGATGCTGAGCAATTGATTTCTTCCTCTGAGTCAGTCTCGGAGGCTTCGCCCTGGATGACGGTTTTGTAGCTTGGAGAGATCATTTCTGGATCCCTTGAAAAGAGGAAAGGAAGCACGCTTGAGAATGGCAGGGCTTCAAGGAGGAATCTTTCGATTACGGAATACGAGCCACAGGTAGAATACACCTGCAAGGGAATTAAAGTACACCTCCCTAATCCCTGGAGATCTTGAGATCATTATCATATATATATATATATATATATGTTTTCTTAAGTTTTCGCGGGTACTTACATGTATGGTATTCAGCTTTGTTTGGGTATTTTCCCATGTCATTATAGTTGTGCTTTTAAAGTTGTAGCAACGTTTCAGCAGAATCTCATCATATATATATATATATATGAAATGTTAGGCTCAGTTGCGGTTATATATCGAGGACTACCCGTAGACAGTTTTGTTGGGGTGTGGTTTAACGTGACGTGACATTACCTGGTCGGATCACGAAATCTGCAAACAAACCCCTGCGCTTAGAGAGAACCAAGGGACCCCACAGTCCTTGTCATGCCACTGTTGGAGTCTGATTCCGAGGGGGAGGTCGAACAGCTGACAGGGAGTGAGAGTGTGGAGGAAACTGGGGAAGGGCACAGTCTGGCTGGGCATTCAGAGGAAGACCCAGGCCCACCGCCTCTTCATCCTAGGGCACGCAGGGAGGAGCGGAGAAGGGAGCAATGTGGGTTATGGGGGAGAAAAAGGCCCTGATTCCCTTCATTAGCTGCAGCT